ACAAGTATTTGATGATATGGAGGGGGAGGAAAACAACTTCTGTGACCAAATTCTGATTCATCACGGCCAAGCACTGTAATACTAGTGGAGTATTAGTGGATGTGAACCACAGCACAGCACGTCCTTTTCTGGCATGTGAATTATGAATGTTATCTCCAAAGAAACAAGAAGATAAACCATAGTTTTCATATCATGTGTGAAGGGTTCACACCAAAGCATCAGCATTTTAATATAATGATTTTATCAGTTATTTATTATTTGATGTTATTCAGCCAGGTCTGCAGCCTTAATAAGTGCAGTCTTTTTGCAACTGTATAAAATATCTTCTCTTGTTCAGTGAATGCCCCATAGCTAAGGTGAAGAAGACGGATGAATGTAAATTGAGGTGCAAGCCCAGCCACACTGAAGGTGATGAGTCTCAGTTTAGTCTGGAAGAGATGGTTCTTTCAGTGGTTCTGCTCAGGGTTGCCTCTGCCCTTACCGGTGGGGTGACACGACAGCTAGAACTGGGCAGGTTGGGAGTCCTCAGAAACACTGAATATTGGTGGTTTTGTCAGAGTCTTCCACCACTGCTTAAGAGCTCCCACCTTCTAATGCTAGATTAGTGTAGGGCTGAACTCTTCATTCTGCTGTGGGGAGGGCAGTGGTTGTCTTGTTTTTTGACAAAGGAACTTCCCTGTGAACATCATTCTGTTTGTTTGTCTGACCCTTCCCCAGAGCAGCTCACCATCCTGGTGGGATAGTTCAGAAGATGAGCTGCAGCACTTTGAATCTCAAACGGGAAACAGATGTTGAGTGGAGGAGTTACTTAGTCCATGGAGGTGCAGTAGGACAGAAGTGGAGGATGAAGCTGGGGATCAGGGTTTCTCATGCCTGCTGCTACAGTGGCAACCACCCTCCCAAACCTGTAACCTTGGTGCAAGAAGACAGCGGTCAGCTCCTAGCAAAAAGCTGAGGACCAGCTGTTAGGGGCCAGGAGGGGGGTTAAGGAGCCAACATTAACTTTGCACCAAGTGGTAACAATTAAGGAAGAGATCCTGACCTGCACTGTACAAGTTACTACTCAATGACTCCCATATGAGTTCAGTCAATAAAGTTGTGGCCTTGAGAAAGCACATCCCTCACTTCTCATGTGCATCTCATCTCTCTTCCCCTCCTCCCACTTAGACACCAGCTCCTTGGCCAGTTTAATCTCTGTGACAGTAGCCCAAATTCCACTGCGTGACAAGGGCTAATGGAATGGCACTACAATAACAGAAAGGAGCAACACACCCTCTTAACAGACTACGATATTTTAGCCATCTTTCATGATGCATTTTAATATTCTTTTCATTTCTTTTTTTCCTGTTATTGCACTGGAGTCCCTGAATCTGTCCCACAGCATGAAGTCCAGCATAATTTTAAGCTGCATCTTGCATCATTACCAGTGAAACTAAATCTACAGCCAGTGATAAGAGGACAATTGATTTGGATATTTGCTATGTTGCATGTGACCCACCCCAGACACTTCCCTGTCAGTGATTATTCCTGGCATTCTTATTTACACTCTTGATAATCAGAATCTGCTACAAAGCTCAGAGCATAAGCATGATGCCTTTAAAATCTACTGTATAGAGATCAATATTTTTTATTTACATAACCTTTTAAAAAAGAAGAAAAGACCTACAGGATAAAGCATTTTCACATACAGAGATATGAATAAAGCATTATAAAAAATATTTCTAATTACATTACATAACACAGCAGTTTTCTGTCGAAGACTTAAAAATGGCCTTTACCTTTTATCCCCCAAATTAGAGAAACAACAGAAGTTTTCCATTTTCTGCCAACATTTTCTTTCTATCAGTGTAAAACCAACTCTATCAGATTTTTTAAAAAAAGCCCTTGCCTCAAGCATTTCATTTGTATTGGTTCTATGTTTAGTCAGTAGCTTTTGTAAAATTGATTAATATTGTCTAAAGGCAAGTGCAGACAGGCAAACAGATCTGTATCTTCTGTAATCCATTTAGCCTGACGTACACGTGCAAGTGAACTATTCTACCTTAATTCTTTCATGGCCGATGAAAAGTAAATGTAAGCAAACTTGTGAACTTCACCATTTAAGAAGAATCACTGAATGTAATGTTAGAAGCTGATTTATGCTCTTACCTCTTCCTTGAAAAAAAATGACCTTGGTCCTCATGCCTCTAGAGCATCCAGACTTGGCAAACAGTTGCTATACACAGAACATCCATTTGAGGCCGTGTCTTTCAGCTCATCCTTAATGGAAACACGTTATCTAATGCTGGATTATAAATGTATTGCTACAATATCATTGCAACACGAGCCAATTTATACTATTTTAATAAAATAAACTCAGAAGTATTTGTCTGCTTTTAATGTAATCCAAACACAGCAATAATTTACACTTGATATCTCATTTTAAAAAATATGTATTTACCTTTAACCATGCTGGTTTGGGGTGCCCTTTGGCACTACTACATGCTTCAAACAGCTTCATCAACCTTACTCATGTCTTTGCTACCAACTCCTGTGGGCTTTGGAGATATGAAATCTTATAGTTCTGTATTTGAGCTGAACTCAGTCAAGTTCCACTGATTTAGATGACGTGAAACTGGAATGCAACACAGAGCATTAATCCTCTTTAACCACCTGACTATTGGTATTTCGCCAGTGAATCTTAGGTCTTATCCATTCCAAAGGTGTTCATTTGTCTATGTCATTGCCATCCATGGCTTAAATGAGTCCTACCTGACTGCACTGCAGCTAGTACTAGTTCAGCTAATTCACTAGCTTAAATCTTCAGCATAGACAATTCTATTATTGCTGCCAGGAGTCTCCTAAGACAAGAAAAAAAAAATCAAACAAACCAGTGGGCTTTTCCTTTCCACTACTGCTGGAAATAATTATTTGCCAATCATTTTTTAATCGCTATGCCTCCACTTCAGCTAAAAACTGAAACACTGATGTGCCTTCTCTACCCTTTATGGCTGTCAGATTCATTTCGATATTGTGATCCCCATGGTTTCTAGCAGCGCTTAATTAAATACAAAATAACGATAAAGTAACAGCATAAAGAAACAAACAATCCTCTGAAATGCTGTATTAACAGAGTTACATCATTAACTTGTTTGAAGTCATCTTGCTCATTTCCAAGGTAATACCTCTTTCTGTGAGAACTGACTTTTCAAAAGCAGAATTCCTAGCTTTGGTCTAAGTGGTCTCCAAAGCAAGCAGTGTTTACTGTGGCATTAATCCAAATATATGCTATTTGCCCATGAAAATTTGCACATTTTAGTGCAGGAAAGAAAGGGCTATGCCCGTAACATGTTTTTTTTCAAAATGTTAAAAAATCTGTAGCACGAGAGATAATAGATAAATTTATGGATCAACTTTACAATATAACCGGACCTACGTTGAATAATAATTTATTCTTCAGAGAGTCTCCACATTCTACAGGGTGGCTAACAGTTTTTGCAGAAGTCTGGAACTACAATGAAAACGTTCAAGGCAGGTCTTTATACTTTTGCTGGCATAGCTATGTCAGAGGTGTTATGAGGTACAATCTCTACTTGATATAATTTTCCTGGCAAAAGCTGGTAGGTGCCGACCCAGTTTTATACCACTAAAACTGAATTTTTGCTGGCACAGCTTCTTTAGCTCCAGGGAGGTCTGGCATATGTTATGCTGTCAAAAGTACAATTTTTGGCAGCACAAGGCTGACGTGCACACTGAGCACTTTGCCAAAGCAGAATACTGGTACGCTCTGGGTATGCCTGGCCTCAACCATCATTTTAAACAGACCATTAGCACAGGAGCTGTATTCATTACTTGATGGTAACGTCAAGCTCTGAGTCTTACTGCTTTCTTTTGTAGTGGTAACAGTGCTGTTCCACCACAATATGATTTTCTTTTGCTTTTCATGGCAAAGGAAAAGGCATGCACCAGCTCAAGTTAAAATAGCAACTTAATCAAATGAAAAATCACCCTCTCATTCAGAAGTGCCCTGTATTGTCCAACACAGGACTGTTCCTTTTATATCATGTCACTATAAAACATATCCTAAAGAGCTTCATTCCTTATGGTCTTCTGGTTTTGTTCTCATAGATCTCACTAGATCCAACACAGATGCTGCAACGTCCAGTATCACACAACCTGAATCTAATTTGTCAGGGGACCTGGCACCCCAAATAGAAATCCTTACTTAGGTCCATCAGCTCTTTAGATGATGCACTGGGAAACCTGGTTTTGGAATAGGATTCACAACATGCAGAAACCAAGTGATGGTTAGGAGCTGAATTCTGAGTTCCGGGGAGCCAAGAAGGTATAGCTTCCCATCACAAACCTCTTCCAGTACTACTCAATTGCCATGACAAAAATCATCAAGTCAGTCTTGGGACCTATGTCAGGATGCTCCTCCAGATTTCACCATCTGAAAAAAATGCTCTAACAAGGAGGCGCTGCATAAAGGACATTCTCCATCATCTCCTGCACGCCTGTCTATGTTAGTGAAGAAGTCACAGCTCTATTCTGAAGACCTCCAGCAGGCTCACTCCAAGCTGGCCTCTCATTACAATGCCCAGACCATGGATTCTGCTTTCTCACAGAGGTGAGCTATGTCTCCTGTTGCTCTAACCTGCCAAGCCAAAGGCATCTCTAGGCACTCACAGAAACTGAAATTTACAAGCCAGGGGAACTTGTGGAAACATGGATATCCCATGGGCTGTAGGGTCAATGGGAATTAGACTGGAGGAGAAAAGAACTGAGGCTCGTGTTCTGGACCTCAGGTCCTAAAAGCCACACATTTCTGTAGATTTGGGGCCTGTTCTTTTTTCTTATGAGACAGTAATGGAGGTACTTTGTGAAGACTTGTAAAATCTGCACTGACATATGAAATAACAAATGATCAAGGATTCATAAAGCTGAAAAGATTTATGTTAAACTAAAGGGCTTCTCTCCAAATGATAAGCATCAATAATTCTGGGCTGGAAGGTCACTTGCTATTCCACCCACTGAACAAGGTTTTGTAGATCAGCAATTACTTCTTCAAGATCATATGGCAGAGGCATATTACATTCATCATCTGTCCAGAAGGGATGGCATTCTGGTTTTTGGTCTTCTGGCAAGCTCTCTGCTGCTTCTGACTGGCATCTGAAAAGAAAGGTAAGCAGATGAACTACTTAAGTAAAACCGTATCAAGAAACCGAATACTCAGCAAGGAAATATTTGTGCATTAATTTAAAGAGAAAGATGATACTAAAAAAGAAATACTGCATCTTCGGACCAAATGGATTGTTCATTTCCAGCAAAGCTGATTTCTGTTGTAGGCTTTGTATTTTCTATAGGGATTTCTCAAAAAGCCAATCACAGAGAAAACTCAGTTAGTGTACCTTTATACAGTGAATTATTTTTTCATTATCTCAGCTGTTATTTAAAGTATGTGATTAAACCATTATCAGATTTAAATGTTTGCCGGTTTCCAATGTATTACTAGATTATTGAGAAAGATTAAACTGAATTTACTGCATTAAGGTCAGGGGGGATAGATTAAACAACATTAAAGAAGCCAGACTAGCTTTGTAGATTCTGGAGATTTACAAATGTATCAACCTGCTTAGCTCTGAAAAAGGCAATATAAAAGAGAAAATTCTATGAAGATAAATGGAAATGGAGGTTAATAACAACTTCTAATGATGAATAGGTGGGCAAAACTTCAATAAAATTAAATTAAGAGGTTAGTGTATGTTATTCCCTGGAGAAAAAGTTTAAATTACAGTTTTTTTTTATTAAATGGATTATTCATCAATACTACTGAGGTATAATTATAATATTCAACTGAACTGCAGCCTGCAGAGGAAAGTTTTGCAAGTGGCAACCATCACATCTCTGAAGATCAGGCTGTAATACATGATGCTGCATCAAAAAAAATGATCACAGTTCAAGGATTTTTCCCCTCCCCTCCAACAATTTGCATGTTGCTAATTAGTTAATGTTTGCAATGGGGCAAGACAAAGAAAAATGTTAAGTATTACCATAATTTTGGTATATACTGTAGGTCTATGTAGGTCTTCAAAGAGATAAACACATTGTAGACATAAACTTTTGCAAGATGTTTTTAAAAGTTCTTCTATAAAGCATGCAACCCTTGCAACAATTTTAAAGTTGTTTTAAACATTGTACATGTCTTTCATCTATGCAAAATGAACTCTAAAAATATTGACACCTGCCAATTCCTTGTCTACACCGTCAGCCCTCTGGAAGAGACTGCTTCCAAATGAAAGATGTCTTCTTCTCTTGGGAATTATTAATGGCAGTGTAATCCCCATGAGAAAACATACTTCAGCTTTCCACCCATGTTGGTGTGTGGTTAATTGCTGCACCAGCATCCTGGGCACTCAATCCATCGTACATTACACTACAAGGACAGTATTAACACATAACATTCCAATATATCTTCAGCTCTCCACATCAGCCCCTGATAATGGCATCTGTTAACATGCACTAAGTACTATTATGTAGCACATCACTTCATAAATAATAAGATTAGCCGACCTCAGGGCCCTGGGAAGAGTAATGTGTTTAAATGTTCTCATTATTTATTTAAAACAAGAATTAAAGGAACAGAAGCTACTTGTGACAATCCTCTTAGCATAAATATTAAACTGTTTGCATTGATAAGCTGCACTGTACAAAATAACAGAGGATTTGTTTTGCTGGCTGGTTTATAATAGTTGTTAGAGCAAATGCAGTTTAGTGTATGAGTTCTGAGAGGTATTTAACTGATTGTGCCATCATGTTCTGAAGACTTTTTCCAAATTATATAAAGGAATAGGAGAAAATTAATATGCAAGGGAAGCTGAAACTAATTACAGCATAACTCTATAAGGCTTTTAAAATCTTGCTTTATTTTCTGTCTTGGCACAAAATAACATGCTCAATTTGCTGGATAGTATAAGATATTCCAGTTTAAGCATTTCAGTCTAAAAGTGGACAAATTAACCACGTCGAGATTACTGCAGGTGACAAATCAAGCTCAGTCAGTAAATACTGCAGGCGAGTTATGTGGTCTGCAAAACAACTTATAATAAAAATAATAACAATAATAAAAATTCTCTCTCATACACATTTGCCATTAACAGCACAGTTCTCACTGAGCAGAAAAACATACCAACTTTTAGCTTCTTCACCATTTAGAGCCCTTTTTTACCTTGTGCTCTTACGCAAACAGATTGATCCCTCACACTTGGGGTCAGGACACTTGTGCTGCTGTAAACGTGGCAGCAGACACAGTGAAGCTGTGACTAGACAGCCCATGATCAACTATTCTAGTTGCTACTTTTCCTTCTCTACTTTTCTTACCAGCATCATCATCATCTCTGAAAGGTCACCCCACAACTGTGTGCCTCAACTTCCAAGCACTCATGCCCTTGGGAAGTTTTAGCTGTATCATACTCCACGTGATGGATTAGAGGAATGGAAACGTGTGATGACAGAAATGCATCAGTGTACTGCAAAAGTGTAAAAAAAGGGAAAGCAGTGACATAGTATTCCAAGTTCTGCAATCCCATAACTCCTTTGTCTTTTGGACCATGATTTCTATTGCTTTGCTTTCTACCACTAGCAAGACAGCAGCAAATCCTACATATTTACATTTTGTGAGTCACCTTTTATGAACAAAATTACAATCCCTGTGCTGGATCCACTGACATCAAAGTCAAGTCTGATTCAAGTTGCTCATGTTTGAAGATATGGGGCTAGGTTCCAAGCAGTCATCACTGCACCAGCAGTTCCTTCAGCAGTTCACCTGAATGGCACCCACAAGCTTGGATGCATTCACCCAAATATGTTCTCTCTGACTCAGAGCTCAGGTGAAAGATCAGTCCTTTCTAGATGAATACAATAGTACTGATTTTAACGAATTTCTGTGGGAAAAATTGTTCCTACAATGGTCTCTAATTTGTAGCTGAGAAGATCCTGCAAAAGGATAGCAGCATTTTTAACTGAAGCAGAACAATCCAAGGCACTTCAACAACCAGGCATGATAATTTCAAATTCCTTTGTACCTGGAAGAAGACGGCTAACCTAAGTTAGCATTGATAACTCAGGGTAAACAGAAATTCTATCTTTTCCCAGATAAACGACAATTTATGAGGTTCAATGTGGGAAACACTGCCAACACTGAAGTACAGTGGTACTGCAAAAGCACCAAGATTTATAATATTATGTTAACAAAAGTATTATATAGCAATTAAAAATTATTTGAGCTAATAAAGTCAAACCTCTAAAAGAGAATAGATCTAATCTGTGTCTATTGTATACACAAAATGTATTAAGAGTGGAAACAATATATGCTGAGATACAAAACAGATGAGGCACCTTTCATACCTTATTTGCAGCAGAACAGGAAAACTGCCATGATATAGTTCAGTGCAATTTACCTCCAATATCTTGATAATACACGTTCACCAAGAAACTTCAGCTCACTTACAGAAAGGATGATTTGTCTTAAGATAGGCAGAGTGCACAAAACTCCACGGTCCCTACTTTCTTGTTAAAACAATCAAGACCTGGGCCAGTTTCAATTAAAAAAGCCAATTTTTAAGGAACAATTCGTCACTGCTGCAGTACACATTCTCACTGTAAAGAGGAGTTTACCTCTCCCCTGTAAACTTCACTGATTTTGATCCCCTTTTTGTCTATTTCTGCCAAACAGACTTTGCTCATTAATATTTACCAAGAGCTGAGTATTAGTTCAACCAAGTCTTGGCAAAGACTTGTATGGCTGCACGACTTTGTATGACAGCAGATGACACTTTCCCTTGGAAGCCACCACAGGCAGGTGTACAGCCACTGAGACTGACAGTTGCCTGGTGATGGTCCCCTGGGCCGCACTGACATTTTGATGATCGGGGCGTCAGCTACATTAGAGGACACTGATCACGATGCTCAAATTTACCAAGCTAGCTAAAGTGTGTGTTAATTATGAGTATGCAAGCAGTCAATAAAAGGTTAATGCAAAAGTCAAAGGAAAATTTATTTCAGTATTGCATCACTCTACTGACTAAATGACTAACATTATGCTTTGTTTTTAATCAATATATTTTACAGTAATGCGTGAGCCATTGATTGGAAAAACAGCCTTCTTTCTAACAGTTAACTTTTGCAACTATTAAGTATCAATGTACTTGAAACATTCTTTTTTTCAGAGCAGATACTTTTTTGTTTCCTTGTCAGGATCAGGAATGCATATAAGCCCGGAGGTGGTCTCAGGTCCTGCTGATGAATGTGATTAATGCAAATAAGAATTATTACCTAGGAACCTAAATAAGGTACTGTGAATGAGGGTCCCTGAATTCTATTGCACTGTTTGTCTACTCCACAGAAGTGCAGTCAAATCAGATCAATAGGGGTCAGTTCGTGGCTCAGACTGCACATAAGTGTTAAGAGTGAGGAGATGATACCAATAGTCCTGTTTCCTAGATGGTACTAATTCAGTTGCCTACATCTGGCAGTTCAAAAATCAATGGAGATCACTGGGAAATTCATACGGTAAGTCAAGGAATTTGGGCCTGGCCATCCTCCCCATGTCCTGATACGGTCAGAAAGAGGGGACAGGATATCTGCTCTGCATATACAAAAATACAGACCCACCCATACATGCTTAGTCCTGCATTCCTGAAATGACAGTTTTATATGGGAGTCATTTCCTCCCTCCATTCATGATAGAATAGAGGTGTTACTGAGCTGTTATTTAGAACTTCAGAGTATCCTTTAAAACAATGGCTCAGGTAAAACCAGTGTTTGTATCACCCTACCAAGACAACACATTCATTAAACCCATACTGACACTGGTTAAATGACACAACTCAGCTAACACAGATGCTGCTCTGAGTAACAGTGGCAGTAGCAGCTTCTACAGACAGCATCTTCCATTCTTAAGATTCACAATGACTTTGTAAATTTGGGTCTGATCAAATATGGATTATTACTGTTCTAACACAGAGCTCTGCAATGTGAACATAAATCCTAATAGTGCAGGTACCCGGTACATAGAGCTTTGCTTGCAGGTTTGGGTTTTTTCATCCTTGTCCTTCAAGCCTTTCCTATGCCTGGAAATTATTATGCAAACTATGTGTAGTAACTCTAATCTC